TTCTTATATGTACAAGATTATTATAAGTAATTTGTTGAAAGTTATATATTTTTTCAAGTTTATATTTTTCTAATAGCTAGTGAATTCATTTTCCAAAAAGAAAGTATTTTCTAATCAAAGTAACTTCTTTGAACTGGACTAATTCTCTTTATAATTCTATTAGCTTTCTTGAATATTATCTAGGTATTTCTTTTATTAATTATTCAAAGTAATAATATCTAATAAATTATGATTTATCAGATTAATTATCATAATTTTCAAATAGATTATTAAATATTATCTGAACTTTTATTTTCTAGTTTTGCTCAGATCAAAATTAATAAGTAATATTTAGTATTATTACTATTCTTGAAATTTTAGTATTGATTATATTCACAAATTATTTTATTCTGGTGCTTTTTTATAGATTATTTGTTAAGATTGAAATTTCTTCTACTAGTTCCAGTTCTCAAGATCTTTTTAATATTATACTAAAGTTAAGTTACTTCTAGTAACAAAATCATATATTACTTTCTGACTATTGTCTTTAAGTATTAATTAATCTTCTTGAATTTATAAAGTTTCACTAAATTTATTATCTTTTAATTATTGATAAAAGATTAAAATATTTTGAATAAAATTGTGATTATTAAAAAAAGTATTTATCTTTAAAGAGTTAAATACTAACAAGAAATTAAACTAATTAATAAAAGTGTTAAAATAATTAAAAGTAATAAAAATTTAAAGAAAATATCAAAATAAAAGTCTTATATTTATAAAATAAAATTTTTAATAAGTGATCAGTATGTATATATGTATATATGTATATATTATTAAATAAGATTTATGTAAAATTAAGAGATAAATAAATAAATATCATGAGACTAAAAATCTATTTTTCATTTTTTTCTTCTGTTATTAGTATTTAATAATTATTCTTGACTTAAAGTATTTATTTTTATCATGATAACTTTTCAGTTGAGTACCATTAAAAGTTTTGCATAATAGTTAGTCATATTAATTTTGCAGTTTATAAGCTTTATTATCAAGAGTTTCATAAATATAGAACTATTCTGTATTCTATTGTAACTGAAATTTATTTTTGTGAGTAATATGTTATTTTATATTATATATTAGAACTTTATTACCAATTTTGAATTATGTGATTCTTTATAATTTTGAGTCATATCTTTTTTTATTTATTATTACTATCTTTTGATTTGATTTTATATTATATTAATCTCATCTGATAAATAATAGAGTAAAAAGAATATTTGATCTAATATTTCATCTTCTTCATTATTATTTTCTTTTATTGATAATGAATATTTTAAATTAATAGATAATTAAATATCTCTTCTATAAATTAAAAATAAAGATTTATATTTGATAATATTATTTCAAAGTTTTTTATATGCAAATAATACTAATAATATATATATATTTCATTATTTATCTAATGTAATACATTATTTTTGGAGTATTCCATATAAAATTCTATTAAATTATTCTACTATTCTATTGGTCTATGGATAATATGATAATGAAAACTTGTATTTAATTTCAAAATAAGTAGTAAGTTCTTCAATTACTTGAGCTATGAATTCAATTTCTTGATCAAACTATAATTCTTTAGGATATTTATATCTATAAATTATTTCTTTAAAAATAAATTTGATAATTATACTAGCTTCTTTATTTGAAATTATTTTTATTTCAGATTATTTAATAAGTGAATTTATTACTACAATAATATATTAATTTCTCTTCTTAATTATTTTGCAAGGATCAACAAGATCAATTATAATTTTATCAAAAGATTGTCTAACTTTAATAGAATGTAAAAGTTATTTTGTAGTTTATTCATCAGTTTTTTGACAAGTTTCACAAGATCTAACAAAGTTTTTTATATCTGTTCTTATTTCATTTTACTAATATCTAATAGCTATTTATAATAAGTTTCATCAAATTCAAAGTATTTAATAAGTAAATCTGAATGTATATTAATTATTACTACTTTGATTTTATTTTCTTTTAGTACTCAAAGTAATATAATAGGTTCTTTTTTTCTATTCTTTTTATAAAGTACTTTATTAATTATTAAAAGTATTTTAATTGCTAATAAATTTTCTTTTGTTATTCTTTATTATATTCTATAGGATAACTTTTATTTTTCAGATAACTTATTAAGTTATAATATATTATTAAATTTATTATGTTAAGTTAATCAGATTTGAATAATCCATTTAATTAGTTATTCAATAAAAATTATTCCAAATAATTTGTTAATTAAGTAAGTTTGATATTCTACTCCTTTGAATATATTCTTGAAAGAATATTTATATTTTAATTAGCTTTTTCAGCTCTATAGATAATAATAAAGTTATATTTCATTATGATTATTATTTATTTTGAGATTTGAGATTCAGAATTAACTTGTTTAGTAAATAACTAAATAAGTATATTATGATTAGTTACAAGTTTAAAAAGAGATCCAAGAAGATAATATTAAAATTATTTAATAGTTCAGACTATAGCCAGAGCTTTTTTTTTAGTAATATTATAATTCTTTTCTATAGATTTAAGTAAAATACTTATATAGACTACTACTTGTTCTCTTTCTTTATCATCTTTCTAAGATAATACTATATCAAGTCCAAAGTCAGAAATGTTAGTATATAGATAGAATTTCTTAATAAAATCAGAATAAATTAAGATTAGAACAGAGATAAGTTTTTCTTTCAAAGTCTGAAATGTATTTTCTTAGTTAAAGTCCAAATAAAAATAATATCATTTTTTAAAAGTTTAAACAGAGATGTTACTATCTGTAAAAATTCTTTGATGAATTTTCTGTAATATTCAACTAGTTCTAAGAATAATTTAAGCTTTTTGATATTTATTAAGATAGAAAACTCTTGAATTTGTTGAATAGTTGAGAGGTCTGGTGAAATTTCATCTTGAATTATAATATGTTCTAGAAAGAGTAAGTTATCTCAAGTAAAATTATATTTTTCTAAGTTGATTTTTAATCCAGCTTCTCTAATTTATTAAAAAATTTTTTGTAAATATTCTAGATGTTCTTTTCAAGTTTTTGAGTATATATTTATATTATCAATATAGATCATAATGAATTTTCAATTATAATTTTCAAGTATACTATCCATAACTTGTTAAAAAGTTGCTGATGCATTACAAAGTCCAAAAGATATAACTTTGAATTCATATAATCCTTTTCTTGAAATAAAAGCTATCTTTTCAATACTGAATGGTTCTATTTTAATTTGTAATAATCAAATGTAAGATCTATAAATGAAAATTATTTTGCATCTTCAAGATTATCTATCATTTCATTAATTCATGATAAAGTATAGGCATCTTTCTTAATGAGAATATTGAGTTTCTGTAGTCAATATAAAATTATTTCTTGTTATTTTTCTTTGCTATTATTATAATAGGTAAGATTCAGAGACTATTAGACTTTTAAATGATATTTGCATTTAACATTTATTGAATCTCATTATAAATAAATTCCTGATTAGGAATGATTACTCTGTAAGTCTTTTGATAGACAGATTTTTTATTTTCAGTATCAATTGAATATTGAATTATATTGATTTGTCCAAGTTTATTAAGATCTGATGTAAAAATATCCTTGTATACTTGTAACAAGTTATGTAAGACATCTTGTTGTTCAAGTGTTAATTCTCTTTATTCAATTACTTTTTCAATTTCTTCTTTATCTAAGAAGTACACTTCCATTTTATCCTTTCCAATTGATCTAAATCCTTGAGTTTCACAAGATGATTCTCCTAACTCTTCTCTAGTATCTACAGATATCATTCCTTCAATTGGGACAAGTTGTAAAAAGACTACTTAGATAATTCATTTATCAGGTTGGATTTCATAGAGTTCATTGGAATTATTGTGTAAAAGAACTTCTATATTTCCAGTATATCCTACATTAATAGTTTCTTCTTTAACTTTTATTTCTTTCTTAGCTAATAATGATCAAGGCATTAATTGACAAACAGTTCCTACAGGAACTTCAATTGTCAAGTAAAGGTCCAATATTACCATATATTATAATCTTTTTCAACAATGAAAAATAAAATGATAAGCAGGTTTTACACATTATAATAAGTTAGCTGTTGTCATTATACCTCTGTATTTTGATTCTTTAGATCCGTAAATAGAAGCTTTCAAATACAAGAGTAATTGTAATGTCAATTTTATCAAAGATTTAACCAGATGAAAAATATTATTGTGGAATAATTCAATGGCCATTGTATTATAAAAGTTTCTATTTGCGGATTTAAAGACTTAATTCAAAGCACAGAGCATCATGATAGTCAATGTGACAAACTGGCTTAGCCATTATTATATTTTTCATTCTGATTAGATCCTTATAGTTTGCTATGCAAGTTTCTATTTGCGGGCCATTAGAATACATGAAGAATGCAATTAAATTGCTACAATTGTTAAGCAAATGAGCTAAAGATGAAGATGACATGTGATTCTTGTTCTCTTTGAAGAAAATAAAGTAGTACCTTTTTAGAAATAATCCATGGATTATAAAACGTTTTTTACGCAAAAAGACAAAGTTGGATTATCTAAACAATGTTAGCTTGTAATGCCATCTGCAAAACCATTTTTTTGAATAAGATACAAAAATCGAATCCATCCAACCAGAAATTATCCATAATTAACATAAAGTTATTCTTCTACATGAAATTTATGGATCGATATTTTTGACACAAGTTTTAGGATATGAGCTATTACGTAATACATGTACTTTGATCAATTGATTTAAAATCAATTGATCGAAATTTCAATTTTTGATTCATTAAAATAAAAAAGTCTTTATTGCTTTTATAATATATCATACAATGATCACGCATGATAATACATTGATACACTACTTAGAATAGTCATTATAAATATGTTTAGGATAAAATATGATGAGAGTTATTATGTTCGACAACTTTTAGTTACCTTAATAAACACCTCTTTAGAATATAAAAATGTCTGAAGTAAGCAAAAAACTTTTATTCTTTAATGATGAATTTTTTGCTTTCACTCTTTTGAAATAAAAACGAAAAAATCATTACTCTATTTATAGTCAAAAACAACTAAAGCCACTGCCAAAAGTTCCACTAGCAAAACCAAGGCTTCGAAATCCAAGGTGAAAAGCAACGGTCCAAAAAAGCCACAAACTGCTTACAACAAATTTATGCAGACTGAACTTCCTAAAGTCAAGGCCGAAAATCCGTTACTTCAACATAAAGATGCGTTTAAACTTGCAGCCGGTCGTTGGAAAGATAGTCCTGAGAACCCGAAAAATAATAGCACTGTTGATACTCCTTAAGCGCAAGATTATGTGAGTTATGATTGGTTTTGTTGGACATTCATTATTGGTTTGTCAATTAAGTAATGTATGATCTTCTTTGATAGCTACACGAATGGTTCTCTCTGATTCTATTATCCTATATACATGTATTTTAGTAAGACTAAAATACTAGTTGAAAATCATTTATTTTTCATCTGAAAATATAATTGCTTAATAATTGTTTGGAGATATGACATAAATTTAATAAATTTTCAGTTCTTTGCTATCTTTTATTTAAGCTTCTTGATTTACAATGATAAATACTCGTATTTTGCACATGAACTTGTGAAAGACATTTTCCAGCTCATGCCAACTTTGTTGACATGCCAGGCATAACGGCCCTTCTGACTTTGATCAAGTTAATTATTTAACGTTAACTTATTACACCAATAATTTAAAGTTTGAAAACAAAGAACAATATGTATGAGGAAATAACGACGCATAATTAATAATGAATAAAAAGTCAATCATGCTAAAACGAATAAGAAAAATCAAAATTCCCTAGTTGATAAAAATTATTTCACTTTTCTACTCTATAGATTTTTATCATAATTCAATCTGTAGTCAAAAATTTTTCGTCTTATTGCTTATAGTCCCTAGAAAGCACTCGTCAGGAAAGGTAAATAAACTACATGACTTGTTACAACCTACGGCACCTCATCTTTATAAATAGAAATTTATGATCAAGGTTGTACTTATGAAAGAAGGACATGTTGAGGCTTTGACCTTTATTTCTGATTAACAAAATCCTTGCATGTTAATGTTAGCGAGCTTCTCGGTTCCTTCTATTGATACTAGCGGTTCAAAATTTATACATAATTGCTTTTAGTAATGTGTAGTGTGTACGTGTAAGATTCTCATTTATCTAAACTCTCCTATTATATCAGTTGTAACTGTAACAAACCTTCGTCAACATTGCATGTGCGAACTTGAAACAGAGCCGACGCTTTCCGTGATCATTTCCTAAATCCGGAACTCGGGTAGCTGCGAATCTTCTGGACGCTCAGCAAAGTTTATAAAAGGGTGAGTCTCAACTGTATATTGTTGGGTTCGTTGTGTTATGTCAAGTCGTTGTGTATCTGAAGCTAGTTAACATCGTTTTTTAATTCGAAGTCTCAGCGTTCCATTGTTCGAACGCATAATTCCTCAAACAAAATAAATATCAGTTTGCGAGAAATGGTAAAATAATTTAATGGAAAAAATTTACCAGGAGTGAATTTCTTAATACATTTCGCTAGCATTAGGGCAGGTCATATTTCAAACCCGCTTTTCTCGAAATCTTCTCAAGAAAAGTACACAAAACCCCAAAATTCTTCTATTTAAAGTCCGTTTCTATAGGTCTTAACAGTGAGATTACAGATTTAAATATTAAACTGAGTTTAACGCATAATAGCCAAAAACCCAGTGACATGCAGGCATCTAAAAATTTGAAAAACTTTAACACAGATAAATTTGTGCATTATGACTTTCATCTGGAAAGCACTTACCGTTACGGTATTTTATATCGCTATTTTCATAGAACGTCCATGTGGGATCCTGTCGCAACTCTGATTGAGTGCTGCAACCTAGGATAATAATTCAATTACAGCCACCTTTTTTAATTTCCACAATATATATTTTTTATAGTTTCATTAAATTATGCAGGTGAGATTTTTTGAACTTAAAAAAAATATTGCCGTGTGTTAATATCATTTTATCATACTAACTCGTACATTTAATAATAAAGTAAAAGCTAACATTAATATTAACGTTAGTGATGGCCAAAAACCTATGGTACCAAATAATTGATATTACATGTATTATAGGCTTTATCATGTCCGTTTAAATGTAAATAAGTCGTGTGCCACTTTTTACAGTGCACGACTGTATTCACGTGACTTACCTAATCTTCAGTTTTACTATAAGTTAAAAGTTAATTTACACTCAATATAATCAATTAAAGATTTCTTTCTTTCTATATAGGTCACGCCACGGTTAAGGTCCCGAAAAATTCAGATAATGCATATAGATATCGGTATAAAACGGAATTTTGTATAGATATATACCGTCGCCTCTGTTTGAACCGAATTGATGGTTTTGGTAAAAAAGAAATCGTTATAGAAAATTATATAGAACAGTTACTCTTTTTAAACCGAACTCATCAAAACTCATGAAATTTAAAATTTAAGAGTAGACTGTATATACTGTACATCTACATGTACATGTAATAAGTCATTGACAATGGTAAGAATAGATGTATATGTTATCTAGATGTACACAATCTAAAATTTTTAAAAATTAACTCTTAAGCAAACTTTAGGAAACTTTCTGAATGAATTAAAAGAACAATTATTTATTAACGTACGTATTTTAAATTTTCTTCAAGAATAACGATAATGTTTTGATTAAAAATATAAATATACATATACACGTACATGTATTTTTGAGGTCCATTTATGGAGAACGTAGTCCATCATGTGATCAATCCTCTTAAATTTTCAGACTTTACTATTAATGAATCTTTATGATTTATAAGGGGTAGGGGACAAGATTATATGTAAAACTGCCGTCCTGACAATTTTAATTAGTATTCCAAGACAGATTTAGACATTGGTTTTCGAGTAATATTATTTTTCATTTCTTTTCTAATCAACAAAAATATGAACGCATAAACCATCACAAGAATTTCGTATTTTTTCTCCTTATCCTCGCACTTTTAATGGGTGCAAAATTTATTATTGAAAAGTGATGGGATCCTATTTCAGAAAACAGACCAAATTGTCGAGGAACTCGGTGACTTTATTGGATCCATCAGAAATCCAGAAAAAACTACGTGGTGGCAACTGAATACTTTGCATTTTCAGCACTATAGCTCTTTAGAATATCTTAAATCAAATGAAGAAATTAAAGAATGTCTTAAAATTAGAAAGGCAAAAATTAGGTGAAATTGATGAGGAAATGGAATCGCAAAAAAGCATTTTTATGATACAGACAAAAAAAACCAAATTACTCAATTTCAATTTACACCAGTCAAATCTTTGCTTCAAAATTAATATCAATCCCAAACTACAGGTATGCTCATCTATTTTATATTCAACTAAAATTACATTTCAGATTAATTTAAATATATCAAATATTTAGGTTCTACAAGTATTAGATTGTATGTTCCAAATGACGGTAAATTCACTATCTTTGAAAATGCAATATTAGTATTAATATCAATATACTAAAAGTACTTGTTTAATAAAAATCTAGCATATTTGACTACCGAATATGATATTGATATCGATACTAAATCAACAAAAAGCCGCATATATGCACCAACGAAGTAAATGAAGTTGAATATATATCACAATAATGCTTATTTGTCTTTTCAGCATACGTCTCACGAAAGTTTGATAATGATATCGATGTAATGGATAAAGCGCCGAAAATTCAAATTTAAACTCAAAAGATCTTACAACCTTTTTTATTAACAACACTTTAAACTATCATATATTGTTAATTAGATTTCAAAGAGGATAAACCGGACAACAAGTGCCCTAATAAATTATGTCAAAAGAATCAAATAAACGGGGAAATTTTTGTTAAATCATAACGAGAGGTACATGTAATTTTCGTTTAGAATGTTTCACACATTTTCTTATCGTTATTGGAAAAACAAGTACATCTACATGTACATTTACACCGGCTTGACTAAAGTATCCGGACAAGATCGGCAACTGGAAAAATCAACGGACTTGACACCGATTTTAGCACTCTTTTATTGAATGCGCCTAATTTTCTATTAAAAACGGTGTGCGCTTATACAATCATCTATCCAAAAATTTTTTGATCTTTTTTTTATTAGATTCATCTTGATTTTACTTTCAGAAAATATATTTTTTGCTCTTTTTTAAAAGAATCATTTTTGAGTAATGCCTAAAAGATCAGAACTTACAGATTTTAAATCGTTGGTCTATGGAAAGACAAAATCAGTAAAATATTAAGACACTAAATTCATAGTTGGGTTGGTAATGTAATAAAAACACAAAATATCAAGGTCAAACCACTACAGCACCACAGTCTGATAGATCTGAAATATCCAATGACCACGTAAAATATATCTAGAAACTGTAAATATACCATTAAATAGCGCAGATTTTGCTGATTCTAATCAAATAAATTTTATTTATTGATAATATGTAAATTCCCTCAAAAATATCAGTCAAAATTAGGAAATATGAAAGTTATCAACTTTATTCAAGTAGAATACAGAATTTCTATTGGACCAATATTTATAAAAAAATATTCTAAAAGCTTAAAATTTGAAGATTTTAATAAAAAAACAATTATAAAATTTGAATTATTGGTTGTAACATAGATCATATTTAATTATTTCACATTAATTTAACTGAACAATCAATATTCAATAATTCCAAATCATATACATAAACAAATTAATCCATAACTTGTATATAAAATAATTTAGAAATATAAAAATAGAGCAGATTTTGCTAATTCTAATCATATAAATTTTATTTATTATATATATTCTCTTAAAAATATTAGTTAAAGTTAATAAATATAAAGTCATTAATTTCATTCAAATGAGAATTAAAAATTTCTACTTGACTAATTTTTATAGAAAGATATATAGTTAGATCTCTCTATAGTCATATCTCTTTATAATCATCTTTTTTTATAGTCACCTTTTTTAGGTTTCCCAATTACTAATTAAAAAAATCTCTTTATATTCAGATCTCTCTTTAGTTATCTAATTTTGTTTTTCCAAGTGTAGTAACTATAAAGAGATTTGACTATATTTTGAAAGATTAGAATATAAGAATTCATATAAAAAAAATTATATAAAATTATTATTAATTATTTTCAGATATTCTTTCTGAATACTTTAGTCAGACTAATATATATATAAATATAAATATAAATATAGATATAGATATAGTACATATCATCTTAAAATACTTGTCAAATTATTTTCAAAATATCAAAATTTAGAA